CATTATCGAGTGAGGGAATAGAGGCTGGTCTCGAGGTAACTGCAATAAGTCACGGAAAAGAGTAGTCGATGCTCCCGGAAGTAGAGTTGGCGGCGAATGAGCTAACGGATGGACACCGCGGACTATTATTTAACTTTAATTGATGATAGCTCGCAAACTGTTCCACATTGATGGTCATCGATAATCGCTAATGATTCCGATCTCTACCGCACTGCTGAGGGGCATCGCGAAATAATCCTCTCGGTGCTCTCTATCTCTATCGTACGCGTGAGCATCTCGAGGCGCACGCAAGTGTGCAATGATCGATACTTCGCACGAAAACTATCGAATATATTCGACATAGATATTTCTCTGTTCCTTTAACGGTACCGAATTTAGGCTCCTCGCGTCTCTCCTCGCGACCTAGTTCAGTGAGAGGCATACGGGTTCGTTGTAACGTGGAGTATGAAAGAGCAATGTCTTTCTTTAAAGTTGTATTATTCCGTCTACTCGTTACAGATTTTATAATTTGTTATAATATAATATAAACTAAATTATATGCAGATGACATTTCAAATTTTCAACGTTTGTATGGAGGTGTAAACGTTGCGCGATTATTGATATTAAGAAACGGGAAGAACACGTGAGTACAAGTAACTGAAAGGTACCAACACTTAGCAACACAAATCAAAGTACCAAGGTACTCTCGAACACCCACAGTACGCGTGTTGGCACAGTGGTGGACCCCGCGTGTTTTCGAGATACGAGACACGTCTTGTTTTAACTCGCCACTCGTCGAATAGTGCAAGTAATCGGTTAATCGATAGATGGTCGCGCGATACGTCGCCATGAGAAGCGGAATTCGCGTCGGGCAAACGAGATTGTTACGTTGTTTCTGCTATTTCGTGCGCGGGCGGGGGGAGGCGAATGACGTGTTACGGAGGTAGTTAACGGAAGAGTCCTCGGGGGCTACGTACGTACGCTCGGGCCTGTTGGTCTTTCTCTCTCACGATGAGAACGGAAAAAAAGGACGGACGTCGGTGGTACAAACGCACCCGCGGTGATGATTAACAGCCAGGCCCGGCGCATATCTCCGGGGCCTGACCGGCGAGGGTAATCGATTAATACACGATATCGAGCCCGCGCGTCTCTCTCGCGGCCATTGTTTGTTGTTAATTACACTGATACATCTAATCGACAAGCGAGGATCGGCACGACTATGATTCGGCGATTTGACCGGTCGCGGATGCGGACCCGGGCTCTCCGACCCGCTTCTCCGAGATGTAAATGTTCCTTTAATGCAGATATCACTGTACCGCGACGTCGAGATACACCGGGCCAACGGCGGCATTGTTTGGTAACATTGTAACATTGCACCGCTCGTTTATCTGCGGCGGGCATCGAATCCGGCATTCTAATTAATACAAGTCGACGCGTCACGGCGACCGGTTTCATTACGGACGCGGTACGAAGCCGAGAGTCCTCTCTTATGACATTTATATGCGAATGTTATGGCTCGCACTAATACAACGTGCGCGAATTGAATCGGATCGTTGATAAAATTTCGTACGTAATATTTTTCTTGAATTAGCCCGCAAAAATTATCTTCAGGCGCGAAAAGTGAGTACCTTGAAGATTATATTGAGATTATTCATATATATTCGTCGATTTCTCTGTGTCATCGAAAGTTTTTTACGAATGCAACATTTTCACGGGAACTTATACGTTTATATAAAAATAACAAGTTCATTGTTATTTTCCTACTGGATTGCTTACGAGAGCCAATCAGGATTTAGCCTTAAGGGGTTACAACACTCTAGAGTCCAAAAGAAGCCAATTTTCGGTGATTTGTTTCAGGAATATAATAAACATAAATGAAAATCTGTTTTATCCATATTATTCTCCATACATTGAAGTGTACAAATAGACACAGAATATTTGAAGATGAGTCGGGAAAAATATTCCTGCCCAAATGATATTTTCACGAAGCGCAACGAGCTCGTTTTAGCGCCCAGCTCGCCTCCCACCTGCTCGAGGTTAGCTGTTAAATCGCCGGTTAATTGCGCGCGGCCGCTCGCAAGAACGAGCTGCGCGTTTCGCCGATGGTGCGTGGCCGGGCCCCAAGTGTCGCGTTAATTACTTGAACGTTAGGCAGGCTCCTCCCTCCCGACGTATAGGTAGATGGATGGATTACTTAACACTTGTCACGCCTCGCTAATTAACATTCAGTCATCTCCCTCTCGGAAGTGCTTCCCCCGTCCCCACGCCGCGACGATGACGACGCGACAGGTGGAAAGTCGTTTAATATTTATCGACCATCGCTCCCGACCCCGTTGGCACCTTCGGGGCCCGATACACGCACCGGCACCCGGCCACGGCCCCGGCCCCGGCCCCGCTCGCAGCTCAATCAGAATTCGTGATGGCGCGCGACGCTTCACGGAAAATATTAGAATACGACGCCGTGATCGTCGATTAACGACGGATAAACGGACGGGTGCGGGTGTCTCTCCTTTTTTTTTTCATCCGCGACTGTCAACGGTTGCCGGGTCTTGACGGGTTCTACGGAATTCCAGATGCAGGACGTTTCGTCCCGTCGCGCGTAATCTGCGCGTTCGATCGCGACCGGGTGTCGTCGGAGATGTGCACATTGTTGAATGCAGGCGCGCGCACATATGGTAACTAATGAAACCTAACACGTTCAATGCCGTGGCATTGCTTAGCTGACTCTAATATTGACGACGGGATTCTCGGAAGACCGTCGCGAGAGATGTATCGTCGGTTGGGATTTTTGTTGGCCGCTTATCCGGATGGCAAACGCGCACGGTCGATGCAGATGAGGTGATAATTGAGTGCATTTTATTCCAGCAAATAAGCGTGAACATGCTGTCATAACTGTCAAGAATTATTACTAGTAGATTAGTATAAAAGTACGGCGGCTTATTTCTCTTCGAGCTCTCCGTCTACTAGATTGCAAATTGTCTCAATTCTCCCGTTAACTTAATCAAGTGCAATTTTGCGCGCAATTAAAGTACACCTTGGAAAATTCCGAGCAAACGATTGAAATATAATTTTTCTATCGTTGCCAAGTGGATTTAATGTCGTAACAATTTTCACATTTATAACATCCGAAATTTTGCGTAGGAAGAAATGGCGTATTCCGTAAACTAATGACAGTACGGTCGCACGTCACAGAATTTGCTTGTGGAGTCGGGGAGTTAATTAACAAACTTAAGCAACATTTGATACGGTCAATGCTTGAATGGTTGACAGCCTGGGAAGACCGTGTCCCATTGGCGCTAATGCCGGGGCTAATGACTGTAGAAGTCGATGTCATAATTGAGAGAAAAAAAAGATAATGCCGGTATATCCTATATGAGGAACGACGTTAGAAGAACGGTTATGACATAATAACGCAAATACGCGGCGTCGTATTTCACGCTTCATTCATTTGCTTTGTGCTTAATTTCGGCCGGAAATTAGTATCGTTGCTCGTTTACGATTTTATAATCAAATATATTTAACGACGGTGGTATTAGCACACCTGACGTACATGGTCTGTTCGCAATGCTAACTAGACAGGCACATTTGTTTATGCGGTGGAACTGGGAAAGGGTGTTATTTAGATCTCCGCCGAGTTTATAGGATAATTGTATAAACCGCGGGGCTCGCGCGAGCGAGCGGATTCGAGTGTTCCCCGATCGATCGCGGTACGTACGCCACTGCGACGCGATATCTAATGAGGCTATTAACACGCTCTGCGCCGTCGAGGAAACTTGGACGGGCGTGCGTTTATGACAGCCGATGACCTACCTAGCGGCTTCCATTAGAGCCGCGTACGAGCGCCTTGAGTGAGACATTTACCGGCTCCCGCCGAGCCGATCCCTCGGCTTTAGCAGGTGCCCGGTGCCGCCGAGGTACCATTTAAAACTTGCTCGCTTTTACGCACTGGCAGTACGCGCGACGCGTGCCTCCGGGCCCCGTCGGCCCGATCCCGGGCCCAAGACGCGACGACGCTATTAGCCGGCTTGGCGCATTAGCGGGCGACGTGCGTGAGGATCTCCGGCGTTACGTAAGTTCCCCATTACAGCGCGAATTACGGGCGACTACGCGCGCGCGGCCGGTTAGAAATCACTTACGGTGATCGGCTCACCGTCCCGTCGTTGCGCGGCGGGGACTCGCGGATCGGATAAATTATCGCGGGAATTTTCTTTCAACGTATGCAAATTACGAGCGGGGAGGGAAAAAAAGGCAGTCGGCGCGCTTGAATAGATCCGCCGTCGCGATTGCGCCGAGATTGCGTCGATTATATCGGGTATGAATCACGATCGCATTGCAATCGTCATGGATGAACGAGCGTGCCGATGTGCGTAGCGCTAACCTGTGTCATTGAGCGGATGAGAATTAAAAATCAACTGCAAAATTATCCGCGGAGGCTTCCTCTCCGCGACGTGACGCGTGTAATTTAATACACATTGTTTCCTTCGATGTGAATTCACTCGCTCGAGACTCCCGATATATACTCGTACACACACGCGCGCGCGTTCAACTTGGCAGGACAATCCTTTTGAAATGAGATAGAGAAATAGAGTTATTACTCCGCCGGCAGTGAATAATAATTGTTCGAAATTATGACAATTGAAAATCACGACGTTGAGTTCCGCGTACGTACGATAGATCATCGAGTTTACACTCATCATGAATATTATTACCGTGAGATGAGATAAAGTGGCGTTACTGCGAATACCTTTTCCCTGACACTGCAAGTAGAGTTTTACTTTTTTTTATATCCGTTCGATTTTATCTCGCGTTATCGTTTATCGAATGTAATTAATAATCGCGAGACTCTCTCTCTCTCTCTCTCTCTCTCTCTATGGAAATACACATTGTGCGACGTTCTATCTTGATCGCAGCGGGTGCCTGGGAGACCCAAAAGGCCGGCTAATACCAAATACGAATAATTAATCGCCCCACTTACGGTCGCGGAGCGATAGCTAATCGAATGCGAATGTTCTCTGTTGCAGATTCGTGCGAACCCGTTGCGGAGCGACCTTACGGTGAGTGACTCACGATCTCAATTTCCCAGAGATTACAAGACCGTACTTATGCCACCGTAAAAATCGTCGCGGAACCTTCTATTCAGTATCTTCCGTGAAAAAAATATCCTCCCTATTACGCAGTCTGTGCGCTTCGAAACGCGTTGACTTGACTCGCCGTCTCGACTCGCGCAATTCGCTTCCATTCAGTGCCTCATTCGCCGTTGATTTCATACGGCATTGCGAAACGCGATGTAACGCCGCTGGGTGCCCGTTCTCTCTCTCTCTCTCTCTCTCACTCCCCCTTTCCCCTCTCCTTCTTTCTCTTTAAGCTCTTTTTTTACAAGGCTCGCCGGCTCGATCGTGCGCCTATGCAAACACGTAAATTAGATCGAATTCTCGGAATAATTACCTCAAGCGGAAAGTGTCGGCGGTCGGCTAGTTTTATATCGCAGATACGCCGGACTCGGGCAAAAAGCGACCCGGACTGTTCTCGATTTTGTAACAAGTAACATTCGTATTTTCATAGAAATACAGGGAGAACTTACTTGACCAATTCGTCATAAATTTACATATAAAATGTAATGAGTTTTCTAGCAACGATAACAAGCTGGTCTTTATATAACGTCATTCGACGTCGGATTAAAAATGCAACGACTCTGCGAGACTGGCTTCGTTCCTCTGTCGCTTCTCTTACCTCCGTCGACACTTTCGTATTCGAGTTCAATGACGGTGAATCCGACAAGCGAATCCAACGACGGCCGGAGAGACGTTTCGAAAAGCCGTCCATCTCGGGGCGTGATATCAAGTCGGGGGCTGTTAGGCGAGCATAAAAAGCCGCGTTGTGCATCCGGTCGCGTCTCCTCTATGCCAGAAGTCGTAAAATTCAGCGTTATGCGATTCGGGGCCTGTGTTTTGTCCCCCTTTCGAGATTATGATTATCCCAGCAGTGGCGGCAGCCACCGTGGCTAATATCACGCAATAAGCACGCCGGAGCCCAAGAAAGCAACGGTCTATCTTACTCTCTCGCTCCTTGTCGCTCTCCCGCTCTCCTCGCCGCTCTGTCTCTGCCTTTGGCTTCGTTCGTCTTCGTCCCGCGGCCTCCTCCTCGTCTGTTTTCTTCCTCCGGTGTATAATATGTGCCACCAAACCTGATGGTGTAAACGGTCATCCAGTGGAAACACGTGGATGGTCCAGGACGGAGGAAGAGGAGGCCATCAAACGAACCGCGTAGCCTTGCGAGGGCATTCTAACTTTCCTGAAGCGACTCCATCTTCACGGTCTATCGTACGTTTGAGAACACAGAGTCGCGGTAGTTGGCTAGGTGTTGCGTTGCTAATGATGGCGGAATGCCCCGAGGACTATTGGGTCGCTCGTATCTTAGTAGGCACAAAATATTCCGAAACGACTTCTTCTTGCGTATTTGCTATACCTGTTATACTTCATACTTCTTCTCCTTGTGCAACTTGGTTTTTAAAATAGAAAGCCTTATCGTTTTTATTTAAAATTAAAGATTATTCATAACGCAGCACTTCTTGACGAGTGTACGAGCTGAAGAATTCTTGTTTCGGCGGATAGTCGAGGTGGCCGAGATTTTCGGGGGTTGCCGAATCAACAGGTTCCGGTTATGAGAGTGTAAAGCGTTTTGAATCTGACCCCTCGAGGGGCATGAATCCTTGGGCGCGAATCTCGATGCAGGAGAAAAAAAAAGGGCGAATCTTGTCCGTGGGGGGTCGTGTCAGACGACTGCTCTGCCGATCGGTGAAATTGCGCGCGTGTGTTACGCGCGCGTATGTATTAAACGTTGCGGGGGTTGTCTGGCCGACCCCACGGCTACGGGGGTGGCTGACAGCCGATTAGGGCAAGACGGGAGAGAAGCCGAGGGCCCCCACGGAAAACTTAAAATAACATCGCTCGATCATCCGAGTGTCTTCGCAGACAGCCGACGACGCCCGCGCTTTGCCATTCAAACGTTTACCATCCCGTCGCCTTCCGCTGCTTCCTGCTTTACCCTAATCTTCGCCCGCGAGTATTTTGCATTACGATCAGCTCATTTTCGATTAAATCGGGCTGTTATATTTACATTGTTACGACACACGTGCAACAAATAATAGGTCCGTCGTGGAGAGATTACATAATATTATATTACATAAGAGGGAACAGTCATCTAAGATCAATATTTTAAAACGTATTTAAATTATTTGCGAGCTTACAGTGAGTGCCGTCGTATATGTCGCCATTCATTTATGAGACACTAGCGAAACAATTTTTTAACATTTTACAAATTAAATTATTTACATCTTATTTATTTTGTACATTTTCAAAACATTTTAGCTGTATTGATTTTAGATATTGTTCGCGTGTACACGAGTGCACGTCTAGATTTCGACATCGCTAAAGGAGAAGAGCGGAAGATACACTCGGATTTTTTTCGCGCAAGAGAAAGACATCGGCGAAAGATTTTTAAGTTGCTCTGACGTTGGTCGAGAAAATTTATGAAACAGTCAGAGGTTGAGCACCTCTTCGATGCTCATTACAGAGCGTCCCGCCCCCGGCGGCGGATAATCAGGGTGTATGGGGGAGTGAGGCGGGCGGGGGCGGTGGGTGACCTCGCCCGGGGCCTTTACTCTCCTCTTCTTCGCCCTGCCACTTCCACGTCTCTTTACTCTGTTCTTCCTACCTGACGGAGTATGCCTTTCTCTGTCCTTCCTCCTCTCTCTCTATATATATATTCTCTCGTCTCTTTTCCCCTTGGCGGTATCCTTTTCCTCTCGACGCTTTCGTCTACCAACTACCTGCGAAGGTGACGGAACAGCAGCTCAGTTTTACGAATTACGATCTCGTCGGTACTTTATATTCGGTGTACACTGCTATCATCTTGCACAACTAACAAACAGAAATACTTGTATCAATTTCTTCCTACGAATAGCGAGTATGTAAATTGCAATCATTTCTTTGTAGAGCAGTAAATATAACCTCATCATTTCTGGGAGAAGCGTAAAGATACCGTCCGGCTGTTACTTGTAGGCGCTTCGGGAATCGCAGAATTTAAAGCGGATCGGCGATTAGGCAATTGCACTACATAGAACATTGGATAATCATCTAAAAGTTTCACTTCTAATATGCTCGTTTATCTTGGCACTGTATCTTCGTGTTACAAAATTTATTATCACGAAATAATTTTACAGACTCTATCAGGGTTGCCGCGATATTGAGCGCCTCGATATTCCCCGAGATAAGAAGATTAATCAATGACGTGAGAGAGAAAGAGAGCCAGCAGCTATTTGGCCGCGAATAATAATGATTATGGGCAGGTACTCTCCGCGAACAGGAAATGGCGTTGGTGAACGCCGATGGAGGTAGAAGGTGAAGTTTTTTGATTCGTTCGGAGACGACAGCGAGCCGTGTGTGTGTATGTGCGCGCGCGTATGTGTATGTGTGTGCGCGGTTGCCTTCCTTTTTCGTGGTTCATTATCTATGCAGAGTCCAGTGAAGAGAGCGCGGGTCAGATGGGACAGAAGGGAGAGAAGGAGAAAGGTCCGGGGTCAGGATTCACGAAGAATTGAGAGAGTTTCGGGACACGCCGCTGAATAATTGGAATCCAAACAGGGGACTCGGTGCTCCGTGCGGATTCTCAACCTGTGGATCTGCCATTATCCGAACGTGTTCGCGTGAGGATTGACTCTGCAGTGATGTTTGGGTGCAGCTAAAAACTGGCATCGAATGGAAGCGCCTTGTAATCCGAGGCTGATCTAATTTGCAAAGAGCGCGAGCGTGGAGGAAGCGGATCCTCGAACGCAAACTGTTACAGTTCTCGCAAGCGCGATCAAAGAAATTTCTTCCGCGAACACAGCAATTGCACTCGCAGAGCAGCTCTCGTCTCCGCTCGATCTTCTCAAAAACTGTACGCACGCTGCTCCTCCGAGCGCGTTTCCGAGAAATTTTATATAACCAACCGTCGTTGCCTATTCACAGTACTCGTTTCCACGGGTTGCCCGATACGCGATGTACGCTCTTTTCGCCGTTACGTATCGGAATGTGACGGTACCGACGATGATGCTCGATCGCTCGTTTATCCCGTTACGAGATTCTTTCTTTCCCTCGCGTACGCGTCAGCCACCGGCCTACCTCAAACTCGTCCGATGGGTGTGCAAGAAAGTATCGATGCCACTCGTCTTAGAGACCCCTCACGCATCCTTTTCCCATTCTCTAAAATGGTCAGGAAGGCTCAACGGATCGGGAAGGTAACGTGCGGTCAAGATTCTGGCCCGTTTAGGGATTGACGAGATTCATCGTAGACTGTTCTCAATGACTGGCAAAACGAAGCTTGGCACGTTGGTGTATTTTATTCTGCGAATGAGCCGAGACATAAAATATTTGCCGGCGAAATCGTTTCTTACATTCGCGGAGATGTGCAAAGTTGAGGACTGCGCGGTAACGCGCTGCGAGACGGCCTCGCTCATAATTTCCACGTAATTATCCCCCCTTATCTGTGCGTGCAAATTTGCATACGCGACCGCAATCAGGCACGTAGCGCGTTGCCTCAGCCTCCCAGATAGCGGCGGAGGAATGCGAGGGTTTCCGGAATCTGTTAACGAGCGAATATGAGAAACGGCGTCGCCCGTGTTATCCGACCCATCTCTCGGGGCGGGCGACGTCCATTCACCTTCGTCACCTCACGTCAGAAGACGCGTTGTGACGTAGTTCGTGGGCAGCGTCCGACACCTGCAGACGAAGCTGGGTCCGGCCGTCACTTTGCCGCGAAAACGGTGGCGCCATTCAGGCAATCCCCCGGCCCCATTAAAGAATCCAGACGGTACTCACGGTCCCTTCTGAAAAAAAGGCAGAAAGGACAGGAAAAAGTGGATTCGACCGCCGCATTAGTTCCCACCGTAAGTAATTGCCTATGTCCTACGCAAATTCTTAGATTGCCGCGCACTTCCTGGAAACAGGCCCAACGGAACGTGGATGCACGCATCCGCGCTGCTTATTTTCCCCGCTAGAAAAAGAGAGCGGGATAA